AGGTAATGTGGTGCAGGTGCGGGTGCGGGCAGTGCAGGTACAAGTGCAAGGTACAACGGTGCAGTAAAAAACACACAGGGTGCAATGGTGCAGGTGCAGTGCAACACACAGTGCATGGCGGTGACTGTTAGTTGGCCCTAGTGTTGTTAAGCGTAAAAAAGTGATAACGGTAATCAAAAAGAATTGAGAAAAAAAATTGAAGGACTTAACCAGCATTTGAGGGACGAGAAGGATGTGTGTATATATATGGCTTTTCCTCTTTTGTTTTTCTTCTCTTTCTCGTGGAAATCCTCAAGTTGGGAGGATTATTTCTTCTCGTTCGGCGTCGGATGAACGAGCTTGTTCAGCGACCAATTGCAGTTGGTTCCCTCGATTGCTAGTTAAGGACCTCTGGCGATAAAATGAGATCATCGGGCGAGGTGGTATGCCCTCCATGCTTTCTATCTTTTTCTTCCAAGAATACTTCGTCTTCATCCATCTTCTTTCGTATTTTTGTCTTCTTTCAATTTTCGTCCCTCCTCTTCTTGTGGATTTTTTTATCGTCTTCGTTTGTAAGGATTTTTTTTTTACATTCGTTTGTAATTTTTCTTTCGAGGGGAGACTGAAGACATTATTTCTTTTTCTTATTCTTCGTATTTCTTCCGTATTCTGGGATTATCCAGGGAGATGCCGAGAAAAGAACACTTGTCGATTCCGTGAACGTCAAAAAACCCAAGACATGATTAGGCCAATATACATTACTGAACGTCTTAGGAGATGGGGAGGAACGTGTGACCCTTAATCCCCGTTCTTCTCTTCTGCTCTCTCTAAAGGAAAGTCAGCTTCGGCGAGAATGTGCAGAGGAAATGGAAGGAATCGACAGCTTCGTGGAGCCCTTGAGGAGAGAGAGTTCTTCAGACGTCTTGAGGGAAAAAAGTCAACGGCCAGAACCTCGAAGCCTTACCTGAGGCCTATTGTACTGAGGCTTCGTCCTCTCCTCTCCTCGGCGAGCTTCTCTTGGGCGCTGCGTTGTACTCTCCAGGCGGCGAGACGGCGGCTGGACGGAGGGGGGGGGGGCGGTGGGTACGGTGTGGGCGCGGAGGGGGGAGGGGCGCCCCTAGTGCCACGGGCGCCACATGCTCTGCGGCGGCGGGGGCGCCTCGGGGGGCTGCTGTCCTTGCGGGGCTTGGGGGCGTCGCACGGGGCGTCGGCGGGGGCGGGGCGTGGGGCGTAGGTGGGCTTGGGGGCGAGGACGGGCTGCCGGCGGGGGGGCCGGCGGGGGGGGCCCGCCGGCGCGCCCAGCTCCTCCCGGAAGTGGTTGCTGCTCCACACGTGCGGCCTGATGGTGGGCGAGGCGCGCGACGTCCCTGGGCGCCTCGGGGACGCCCTCCCGCCCTCCTCCAGCGGCAGGGGCGAGCCCGCGCTGCTGACGGAGGACAGCGGCGTGCTGACCCCGGAGCTCATGTCGCTGTCGGACGCGTCGTGCGACTCCGCGCCCAGCGCCGAGTCGTCGCTGCCGGCGGAGAGCGCGGGCGGCTGCACCACGACGGCCGCGGGGCGCGCCTGGCCCCGCCCGGACGTCAGGATGGCCGTCAGCACGGGCGACGACGCCTGCAGCGCGGCGCTCGGCTGCCGCCGGTCCTCGGGCGCGCGCGCGGCGGGCATGGCGGCCGGCAGCACGAGCGCCAGGTCGCCGTTGCTGAGGCGCGTCGGCAGGATCTGCAGGCCGCCCTGCTGCGGCTGCGGCTGGAGCTGCGGGAGGGCCTGCTGCGGCTTGGCGGTGGTCACGAGCGTCACGTGCGGCTGCGCGCCCAGGGAGTTCCCCGCGCTGTCCTGGAAGGCGACGGGCTGCGTGGCCACGGGCGCGACCTGCGGCTGCACGCACGCCCCTGCGGCGGCGGGCGCGGCGTTGAGCACGAAGATGATGGGCGGCGGGTTGGCGGCCACGTTGACGCTGTTCTGGACGCAGGTGGCGTTGGCGTTGACGTTGGAGGTGACGGAGGACGCGATGGCGTTGAGGTGGCTGAGCACGTTGGCGTGCAGGTCGTGCGGGAGGCCGTCCATGCCCGACAGGTAGCGGGACACCTCGGCGGCGCACTGCGCGAAGCCGGCGCGGTACTTGGACATCTCGTCGCCGCCCGCCATGCGCCCGCGCACGCCCGCGGACTCGTGGCGGTGCAGCGCCTGCACGTGGCGCACCGTCATCTCCAGGATGTCGGCCTTCTCGAGCTTGCTGTAGCGGGAGGGCTGCGGGAGGAAGGCCGTGTCAGTGGGGCGCGCAGGGAGGACAGAAGCTGAGTCTACACACGCACAAATACACACCCTCCCCCCCCCCCCTACTCAAACACCACACACAACAACAACAAACAACAACAACAATCAACAACAACCCTCCCCCCTCCCCCAAACCCGCCATTCACACGCCCAACCACGCCGGACGCCAACAGCAGCGCATAAGCCCCGCCTACTCACATCCTTCTTGAGGGCCTCCAACACCAGCGTCTTGAGGTCGTTGAGGCAG